AACAAACGACCCGATCGAGCCAGCGATCAAGTCGTATTCCATTCCATCGACATGAATGATGACAACGAGTTCCCAGTTGTTAAATGAGCCGATCGATGGTGCAAGGAAAATGGCAGCTCCCCGTGTCTGTCCATTTTGACTTTATTTGGCCGATGTGGCCTTCCTGAGAGGAGGCCGCCCGAGATGATAGGGTGGTGGGACGTGTACAGGGTGGCGGCCGCCATTGCGCCGCTCTACTTCGTCCTCGGCCTCGGCTACGGCTCCGTGCGGTGGTGGAAGCTCTTCACCGCGGACCACTGCGACGCCGTCAACCGCCTCTTCGTCTACTTCGCCTTCCCGCTTCTCGGCTTCGACTTCACCGCCCGCGCCGGCACCTTCGTCGCCGGCTACCGCGTGCTGGCGGCCGACGCCGTCGCCAAGCTCATCGACGTGCTCATGCTCGTCGGGTGCGCCGCTGCCCGGCGCGCCAAGGCCGCGACGCGCCGCGGCGGCAGCGTGTCATGGGCCCAAGTACCTCTACAACCCACAACCCTGGAGAAGGCCGGCCCAGGAGAAAGAAGAGGCCCAGCCGCAAGTTCGACCCAGCCACCTGGGAACTGGGTGGTTACGTGTTGGTGTGCGTTAGGTGAAGAGGCATGGAGAATTATCTGGATTGTACTCTCATCCCGATCCCCTTCTTCCTCCTCGAACCCTACCTTCTCTGAACTCCCAAATCCCTCCTATGCCACTATGAGCTAGAGTAATTCGAGTTGAGGGACGTAACATATGGTATCAGATTTGCCTGATTATCTCCAGAAGCCCACTTTCTCCACACGCAATCAACGCCACACCCTCGAAATGGAGCAACGCATCGACGAGCTTGCGGCGACGCTCAAGCGCATCCAGGAGCAGAACGCCTCCATCCAAGAGGCGGTGGCGACATCGACGTCCCTCTTTGAGGAGATCAGGTCGTCGGTGACGGGCCTCGCGGATTGTCGACCAGCGCTCGAGTGCTCGGTCGACGATCTGCGCACCGAGATCGGCGGCGTTCGCCGCGACCTGGACACCGTCATCCGCAACCCCGCTCTCGCCCTCAAGCCGACGGATCTGCCACCCCTGATCCCACGATCTGGCGATGGGATGACTTTGGAGGCAAGCAAGGAGACGCACAGGCCCGATGGCCGCCACGACGACAATTCGACTCGGGGGTCTGGATCTGGGGTAGTTACTACCCTCGTTCCGCCTCCGGCCATGGGTACGTACACTCTCGAGGATTCCGGTTCACGATTGTTAGTTCATCCTCTCGAGCCGCTGCCACTGTCCGGGGAGTTCTCGCGGCAGCGGAATGCCTCCCGTTCGGGCAGCTCACAGCGTTTTCATTCCACTTCCATTCCCCGTCCCAAACTTGATTTTCCACCATTTTGGGGAGAAAGGCCTCGCTGTTGGAAAAGGAATTGCGAGTCCTATTTCCGTGTCTTTCACCTTGATCCGGAGCTTTGGGTAGACACTGTTGTATGCATTTTTCGGGGCCGGCTATGATTTGGCTTGAAAATGGTGGGTTTACCTTGCGTAACCTGACTTGGGAAGCTTTCTGTCAATTGGTCTGTGACCAATTCGAGCGCAATGAGTTCTCCTCTCTGTTGCGCCAGCTCTTTCACTTACGCCAAACAGATTCAGTTTTAGCTTATGTTACTCAATTTAACAAGCTTATGCACTCCCTTTTGGCACATAGCAGTTCGTGGGATTCAGCCATGTTTCCCTCTCGTTTCGTAGATGGTCTTAAGGATGAAATTCGTGTTGTTGTCCTTGTGCATAATCCTCGCGACCTGGATACTGCTATTTCGTTGGCTTATCTGCAGGAAGAGGCGCTGGAAATTTATAAACGACGTGAACCGCGTCGCATGGACACTGGATCAGCGGTTCGGTCGCATCTGAGAGGGGCAATGCCACTGCCTCCACCTCCAGGCTGGCCACCTCCAGTTCCTACAGACACAGCGGCTGATCATCGACCCGCGCCCATTGTTATGGCGCAACCATCTCCATCGACGGATGAGAGATTGACCACACTGCGTGCTTATCATCGCGCGTGAGGCCTCTGTTACTTGTGCGGCGAGAGATGGTCTCGAGATCACAAGTGTGCCACTGCAGTTCAGTTACATGTGGTTCAGGAATTTTTTGATATCTTGGGAATTCCAGGTTTGGATGGGCAGTCAGAGCAATTGGATACAGACAGTGAATGGCATACTATTTCCAGGGCGGCATTGGAGGGTACTGTAACACCGCAAACTGTTCGGCTGCAAGGAGTACTATTTCCAGGGCAGCATTGGAGGGTACTGTAACACCGCAAACTGTTCGGCTACAAGGACTCATTCAAAATCAGAAGGTGTTGATGTTGATTGATTCAGGGAGTTCCCATAGCTTCATCAGTGCTCAGTTAGCTGCTCGTCTGACTGGTGTGGTGACTTCAGATCATCCCTTGCAAGTGCGCATTGCTGATGGGGGGCATCTCTATTGTGCCCAAGAAGTGCCTAACTGTGAGTGGTGGGTTCAAGGCCACAAATTTTGCTCTACTCTTAAAGTGTTGCCACTTGGTTGTTACGATATGATTGTGGGTATGGATTGGTTAGAAGAGCATAGCCATATGGATATTCATTGGGGACTCAAGAAGCTGCAGTTTTTGCACAATGGCAAGCCAATTTTGTTGGAGGGAGTGCAACCGAGTGTGCAACACTGTTATCAGCTATCATCAGCACAATTACATGCTCTATATGACTGTAACGATGTGCATCAGGTCATCCAACTCTGTGCTATTGATGTTTCAAAAGGAGAGGATCAGATTCCTTCTGTGATATCGACCCTATTGCAAGAATTTGCTCATCTCTTTGATACACCACCCACTTTACCTCCAGAACGAGATTTCGATCACACTATTCCGTTGATACCAGGGGCACAGCCTGTCAACTTGAGGCCTTACCGTTACACTCCAGCTCAAAAGGATGAAATTGAGCGCCAAGTGGCCAAAATGATCAAGCAAGGCATCATACAACATAGTTGTAGTCCGTTTGCTGCTCCAGTCCTGTTGGTGCAGAAAAAGGACTTGAGTTGGATATTTTGCATCGACTTTGGCAGATTGAATGCCATCACAATCAAGAACCGATACCCATTGCCAGTCATTGAGGAGCTGTTGGATGAGCTTGCAGGGTCAGTGTGGTTTACCAGTCTCGATTTGAGGGCAGGTTATCATCAAATCAGGATGAAGGCAGGCGAAGAGTACAAGACTGCCTTCAAGACTCATCACGGGCATTATGAGTTCAAGGTCATGCCCAATGGTGTTACTGGTGGTCCCTCTACCTTCCAAGGCACTATGAACATTGTGTTGTCGCCTCTGTTGCGCAAGGGTGTGCTTGTATTCATTGACAACATTCTGGTATAATGAAGATATCATTTTAATTTTCTTTAGTTTGGCTTCACCAGAATATGTAACATTTTTATCTTCAAGTGGCATTTGTGGCGCCGACGACAAAGGGAACAAAACCTATATCTATATCACGTTGCGTGTGTGTCAACTGCCACAAGTGCCGACATTGCCAACATTGCGGCTACCTGGGAAGCCGGCAGCCAATAGTAGCACCGGAAGAAGGGGCGGGAGTAGTCCTGGCCATCTCAGGCCCGCCCCTGTTGGCCCACCCAGGCCTGGCCCTAAAATCCAGGGCCTAGGCCCGATGGGCTTGCCCATGGGCCTGACTTTTGAGCCCACCAGTAGGGCCTGGATGGGTTTGGGCTTGGCATATTGGCATTTTAAAGAAGAGGCCCGGCCCACGGCCCTAAGCCCTAAGAGCTTTTTAGGGCTTTTTACCAGATGGGCCGGGCTTGGGCTTGAAAAGTAGGCCCAGTGATGGGGCCTGGGAGGGCCTGGGCCTTAGTTTTCCGCCGTGGGCTTTTTCAGGCCCGGCCCAAGCCCGGCCCGGCCCGGCCCATGGCCAGATATAGGCGGGAGCAGCAATGTAGGCGGTAGCCTACAGCAGCGGATGGGGTTACTGGGATGGGCACGGGAGGCAGCGACATAGCTACCGGGAGCAGCAAGGTTCAGGATAAGTGGAGGAGCTAGCAGCCAGAAACATCTGAGGCGGTAGCTGCCGGTAGCAGCGCAGATGGCAAGAAAGAAAACGAGTGTTGAGAGTCCATGTAGAAAATTAAACTCATTGGTAATTGTAGATCGGCCGCCGGTTGAAATAGAGGTTGTTACAATTATGTTTTGATGAAGAATCAGTATTATTACATATTTAAAAAAATAGTTCCTCCATTCTAAATATAATTTTTTTAGAGATTTCAATAAGGACTACATACGGGTGTATATATTAAAGTGTAGATTCACTCATTTTGCTTTGTATATAGTCCGCATTGAAATCTCTAAAAAAAATTAATAATTTAAAAACAAAGAGAGTATAATTTTATATCTAGATAAGAACGTGCGTTGCATGTGCACATTTACTAGTTTTATAAACGATTGTAAGGTCCAGGTTTTCCCCCGTAATAAAAAAAATTAAATCTCCACGACCACGAACGGCCGTGTCGCCTCGTTAAAAAACCTTCTCGAGGCGGTTTCCCGTATGTGCGCGTCAGTTCAGTTCCCAAGGCTTTGAATGCTTTTGCGGTGGCGACGTGTTAATGGCGGAAATGCGCAGAGTCATAACCATCGGTGGGGAGGCCAGGCGATGTGGTGATGATATATAGTCGTTCCCGTTGGCCCGTCGCCTCGCCTTCCTCTCCCCCCACCAACTGGCCTTGGGGAGGGCTTCACTTGGCGCCCGGAGAAGCCATCGGCGCCACTGACCACGGCACGCCGCCGAGCGGTGTGATCACTCGATCGGGCCTCCAGCACGGCGACCGGAGGCAACGAGTAGTGGTACGTATGCTGAAACCTTGGGTTATTTGTCCAATCATTCCCGCCTGGTTGTTCATCTTGCTCATCCGCTGTCCACCACCTAGGCAGCCTGGGCGCGGGACAACTGTTCGACAGAATGGCCAAGAGGCTGTCCAACGAGAAAGCACCTGTGGCTGGCTGCGAGGACCGCCTAAGCACGCTACCGGAAGATGTAATCCTGCGGCTGCTATCGTTCCTGCCCTCACGGCAAGCCGTGCGGACGTGTGTGCTCGCCACCCGCTGGCGCACGCTCTGGAAGTCTGTGCCGGCCCTTCGTATTGATGAAACTGAGAGTGAGACCTATGGGATTGGCGATGACCTGAACCATTTTATCAATAGCCTTCTTCGCAACCGTGACCAAGCACCTCTCCATGAATGTGAGTTCCTTATACACCATGGCTTCGGTACCAAGGACTCTCCCCAAGACTTTGAGTTGTGGCTCCGTTATGCCATATCGTGCAAAGTGAGGGTTCTCCGGTTTGAAATCTTATCTCGTGATGATTATTTGATGATATCAGCTGGGACTCTCATCTCCCAGCACTTGACGAGGTTATTTCTTCATTTTGTTGGGATTGAGGATTTCTCTCTAGATGTTTTGAGCTGTCAGTCACTTGAAGTGTTAGATATGGAACTATGTATAATCAGCATCTGGACTATCTTCCCAAAATCGTTACGTCATCTGAGAATCAGACTTACAGATGTTTATCCCAAGGATACCCGGCCTCTTATTTCTGCACCAGGTCTGATTACCTTGGAGCTAGCCAACTGTACGTATTGGACTCCGTTGCCTAAGAACCTGCCATCATTGGTAATGGCATTTATCAACATTGGCTCTGGCGGTATGCAATCTTGTCAAAATAGTTTGAGTGGGGACTGTGGTTATGAGTCGTGTGAGAAGTGCTATGGTATGGATGACGAGTGTGTGTTTCTCGAAGGTTTGTCGGGTGCAACAAATTTACAGCTGATAAGTCCGTGCTCTATGGTATGCTTACACATTTGTTTTGTGGATATGCTTGCTATTTTTGCTAATTCCTTTTGTTGTTTGCTATTCACCATTGCATCAGTGTATCAGTCAATGGAAGCATATTAAACTGGTTTGTGATGTGCATTGCATGTGTCTCACCAGTTCACTATCTTTAATTTATATATATATTTATAATGTTATCTTCAGCATTCACCATAGTGTGTGTCATTTTGTATCAAAAGAAGAATACCCAGATGGCACCTGAAGTTAAAAGACAACAAACCCAAAACCCCAAAATGACTAGCAAAAAGAGATAAACTAGGGGAAACCCTGTGCTAAGCCAATGAAAACAAAAAAAAAGGCAAAAAAGAAGTAAGGCAGAAGAGGTTTGCAAGGCTAGCTAGCCCTTGGCTCCAGAGGCCTGGCATGCAGGGGCAGCCATCATGTTTCTATGAAGACACCCCCTATACTTGGTTTGCCAGAAAGGCAATATGCATATAGTTTATAAGGCTACTTGGTACTTGCATTCTAGTACTCAAAAGCATATGGTTTGGTTAATTTGGGAGCCATGTCAATTTGTGCAACACTTAATGGTGAGGCTTCATTATGCTCCTGATGAGTGCAAATGATTGGTTTCGTCCAAAGTATGAAACGTTGTATCTGGCTTTTCCTGGTTTGTTAACAAATACAATGTCTAGAAAGTGTGTTATAATACCGCGGAACTATAAATTGTAAACTACACGGATGATTATACCTTGTTAATTATTATTAATTGACTGTCCTAGATGCTCATATGTACAGGATAAACTGTCAAATTTCAAAATAAAAAATTACAAGATAATTGACAGTGACACTCCTTCTATGTTGTTTTTGTTCTCTCCTACTTATCAATGAGAAGACACAATCTTTGCGTGTTCGCAATAAAATTAAAAAATTCTGAACCTTCTGGTATAATGTAGTGTGGTAGCATTGTTGGTAAAGTTGAAACCTGCGGTGTGATGCTTGCATTCAGCTCCAGCTCTCTTTTAAGTATTCCCTTTGTCTAGATCTTCAGAAAGGATATAAAATGGTGCCCTATCTTCAGCAAGCTAAAAACATTGTTGCTTGGTGACTGGTGTATGACTGCTAACTTCAGTGGTCTAGTTTACTTCCTCCAGCATTCACCCAGTCTTGAGAGGTTTACGCTTCAACTAGGTTTTTCCTCTAAGGTATAAATTTTTCTATCTATGATGTCGTTGTTAAGTATATATGTTGTGCTTGTCTTGTACAGGCCCAGGCCCATAGTCTAGAGTGAAGTATGTTGTGTTTGTGTTGTACAGGCCCAGGCCCATAGTCTAGAGTGAGGCCCAGGCCCATGTAACCTTGTATATCTCTCTCTCCTCCTCAATACAGAAAACTGTTCGGTCATTCTCTCTTCCTCACGTTTTCTAACATGGTATCAGACCAGGACCAAACCCTAGTCCCTCTTCCAGCCGCCACCCATGAAATCGCCGCCGGTGAGGTGATTCAGGCGGATCTGTCTGGTGAGGAGACATCCACATCGCTGCCCCATCCCATCTTCGTCATCAACCTGTAGGAGCTGCTCTCCAGCAGCTCCTCTGTGTGTCCTCACAACTACTCTGTGAGAATACTTCCCCTGCTCTCCAGCAGCCATCTCCAGCAAGCTCTTGGTGCCTTCCCTGCTCTACAGCAAGCTCCAGGCGTTCCCCCTCCTATCTAGCAAGATCCAGCAAGCTCCTCCTTCTATCCAGTGAGATCCAGCAAGCAGCAGCCAGCCTAGTGGGTTGTTGTTCCTGTTTGTGGCTGTCTGCTGCTCATCTCTTGTTGCTGCCTGCAGCTGCTATCAAATTGGGTGTTTCCAACTGCTGGCCGCTCACCACTATGGCAAGAAATGATTTTGGATTTGGTTCTTTGATCATAGATATCAAGCTTGATGGTTCAAACTACAGGGAATGGGCATTTTCTGCCCGGACTGTCTTGAGGACGGCTGGTTTTGTTTCTCATCTGACAGATGATCCACCTAGTCCAAATGATGATGCAACAAGGAAGTCTTGGCAAAAGATCGATGATCGTGTGATGGGAGTTTTAATTCTGGGTGTTGAACCCTCACTCCGAATGAGTCTTGAGCATCACACTTCAGCTAAAGAGATATGGAAGTACTTTGAGCAGCGCTACCTTCAGCCCAGCAGTGCACTTCATTTCTCCTTGTTGCAGAATTTACACAACACTCGGCAGCCAGAAGACATGTCCATAGAAGAGTACTATGGAGCTTTCACTCGCATCACTAGGCAGCTAGGTTCCATGGTTCCAAAGGGTAATTCTGGTTGTGAGTCATGTGCAGCGAAGGAAAAGTACGACCATCAGACTCTCATGTTTCTGTTTGTGATGGGTCTCAAGCCAGACTTTTAGAACATTCGCACTCAATTGCTTGGTCGTACGACTCCTCCCACCTTGACAGAGGAACTTGCTAGCTTGATCGCTGAGGAGACTCGTCTCCGTTCTCTTGGGACTACTTCTGCGCAGACTCTACACACTAGTGTTCTGGCTTTTCCTCAGCGGCCAGGTGCCTCCAAGGCCACATCTTCAGATGTCGTCTGCTCTTTTCTGCAAGAAGGCAGGACACCATAGAGATGGTTGTTTCAAGCTTCATCCAGAGCTGTTAGCTGAGTTTCAGGCTAGACGGGCCCTCAATCAGCAGCGTCGTGCACCCCAAGCTCCTTATCAGCAGCAAGCGAGAGGTGCTTCTGCATCTGTTCTCTCTCAGCCCGCCGTTGCTGCAACCCAGCCTTGGGTTTTGGATTCTGGAGCTTCTTTCCATGTGACCTCTGATCGCTCTCAGCTTGTGTCTTGCCAGCCAGTGCGGGATGGTGCCTCTGTTCAGACTGCTGATGGTACACCTTGTTCTATTACTCATCAGGGTTCTCTTTGCACATCCAAGTTTTCTGTTCCTGCCATCTCCTTTGCTCCAGAGCTTTCCATGAATCTTATGTCTGTTGGCCAGCTTGCTGATATGAACTACTTTGTTGGTTTTGATGACTCATTTTGTTATGTGCAGGACCGTCAGAGCAAGAGGGTCATTGGAACTGGCCATCGCCGTAGAGGATCCACATCCCTCTACATCCTTGACACCTTACACCTTCCTTTAGCTTCCACCACATCCGCGTTCCGGATGGTTGCATCAACATCAAGATCCACTTCGTCGTTTTCTTTTGCCTAGTGGCACCATCGCTTAGGTCACTTGTGTGGTTCTCGTTTATCTACCCTTGTTCGACAAGGTGTTTTGGGTCATGTTTCCATAGATGCTGGTTTTCATTGTAAGGGTTGTAAGCTAGGGAAACAAATACAGCTTCCATACTCTTCCAGCACTACTCATTCTAGTCATCCTTTTGATTTAGTGCACTCTGATGTATGGGGTCCTTCCCCCTTTGTTTCAAAAGGTGGCCACAAACATTATGTCATATTTGTTGATGATCACTCTCGACATACTTGGGTCTATTTTACGAAGCATCGTTCTGAGTTGTTTTCTATATATAAGGCTTTTGTACATATGGTCCATACTCAGTTTTCCAGTGCTGTTCGTGTTTTTCGTTCTGACTCCGGGGGGAAGTATCTATCTACTGCTTTTCGCGAGTTTCTCTCATCTGAGGGTACTCTCCCTCAGCTTTCATGCCCTGGTGCCCATGCTCAGAATGGCGTTGCTGAGCGTAAGCATCGCCATATTGTTGAGACAGCTCGTACCCTTCTGATTTCTTCCTTTGTCCCCACTCATTTTTGGGGTGAAGCTATCTCAACTGCTGTTTATCTTATCAATCTCCAACCTTCTACCCGCCTTGAGGGCAAGTGTCCTGGTGAGGTTTTGTTTGGTTCTCCTCCCATGTATGACCACCTCCGTGTCTTTGGTTGTACTTGTTATGTTCTTTTAGCACCTCGTGAGCGTACCAAGTTGACTGCTTAGTCTGCTGAGTGTGTCTTCCTTGGATATAGTCTTGAACATAAGGGCTACCGTTGCTATGATTCTTCTGCTCGCCGCATTTGCTTTTCTCGCGATGTATCTTTTGTTGAGGATCAACCCTTCTTCTATTCCCCTTCCACTAAACCATCATCCTCAACTTTTTTAGAGTCTACCTCGTTTCTTTCACTTCCACCTATCTTTTTAGATGAGTCCATAGCTGAACAACCTTCCTCTGTCCTAACATCAGAACCATCTCCACCACATGTTTCATCTCCTTCCTCACCAGCTCCTTTCTCTCTTCCACTAGCTCCACCTCTAGATAGCCTTCCTTTCCATTACACTCGTCGTTATTCTACTCCTCCAGCCAGTACTTTCCATTACACTCGTCGTTCTAAAGTTCCATGTGACACGCAGTCATCTATGCCTTTGTCTTCTACTCCTCCAGCCAGTACTACTGATCCTTGCACTGACGGCTCTTCTCTAGCAACGCGATACAAGAAGGACTTGTATGCAGGGGTTGTTTCTGAGCCTAGTACCTATCAGGAGGCAGTTGTGTCACCTGAGTGGCAACTGGCTATGTTTGAGGAGCTTGCAGCCTTAGAGCGTACTGGTACATGGGATTTGGTACCATTACCTCCTCGTTCAGTCCCTATCACATGCAAATGGGTGTATAAGGTTAAAACCAAGTCAAATGGTTCTGTGGAACGCTACAAGGCTCGCCTTGTTGCAAGAGGTTTTCAGCAGTCTCATGGGAAAGATTATGATGAGACATTTGCTCCTGTTGCTCACATGACTTCAGTTCGAACTCTAATTGCTGTGGCTGCTACTCGGTCATGGAAAATTTACCACATGGATGTGAAGAATGCCTTCCTTCATGGTGATTTACATGAGGAGGTTTATATGCAGCCACCTCCAGGTATCAAGGTTCCATTAGGTCATGTTTGTCGTCTTCGAAAGGCTCTTTATGGGCTTAAGCAAGCCCCTCGTGCCTGGTTTGAGCGGTTCAGTTCTGTGATTCAAGCTGCCGGTTTTTCTCCTAGCGAACATGACCCTGCACTCTTCATTCATACATCTGAGCATGGCCGTACATTGCTTCTACTTTATGTAGATGACATGTTGATCACTGGAGATGATGTTGGGTATATTGATTTTGTTAAGAAAAAATTGAGTGAACAATTCAAGATGTCAGATTTGGGGTCTCTCAGCTATTTTCTCGGGATTGAGGTTGAGCACACCGATGATGGTTACTATATCTCCTAGCAAAAGTACACTCATGATTTGATTCTTCGCTCAGGTCTCACTGACACGCGCATTGCTGCTACACCTATGGAGCTTCATCTGCAGTTGCGTCCTACTGATGGCACTCCTCTTGAGGATCCCTCGCGCTACCGTCATATTGTCGGCAGTCTAGTGTACCTCACAATGACCAGACCTGACATTGCACATGCAGTCCATATTCTCAGTCAATTTGTCTGTGCTCCCACCTCAGTTCATCATGGTCACCTATTTCGAGTCCTTAGGTATTTAAGGGGAACTACATCTCGCCGCTTGTTCTATGCTAATTCCAGTCAGCTCCAGCTTCATGCTTACTCTGATTCCACTTGGGCGAGTGATCCTATTGATCGTCGCTCGGTCACTGGCTATTGCATATTTCTTGGTACATCTCTCATTGCATGGAAATCAAAGAAGCAAACTGCCGTGTCTCGCTCCAGCACCGAGGCAGAGCTTAGGGCTCTCTCTACTACTACATCAGAGATTGTATGGCTTCGCTGGCTATTGGATGATCTTGGTGTCTTATGTCATACACCAACACCTCTTCTTTGTGACAGCACTGCTGCTATTCAGATTGCTAATGACCCAGTCAAGCATGAGTTGACCAAACACATTGGTGTGGATGCATTTTTCACTCGATCTCATTGTCAACAATCCACTGTTAAGCTACAATATGTCCCATCAGAGCTTCAAGTCGCAGATTTCTTCACCAAGGGACAAACTAGAGATCAGCATAGGTTTCACACTCTCAAACTTGGTGTATCAGATGCTCCTGACCCACCTTAAGTTTGAAGGGGGGGTGTTAAGTATATATGTTGTGCTTGTCTTGTACAGGCCCAGGCCCATAGTCTAGAGTGAAGTATGTTGTGTTTGTCTTGTACAGGCCCAGGCCCATAGTCTAGAGTGAGGCCCAGGCCCATGTAACCTTGTATATCTCTCTCTCCTCCTCAATACAGAAAACTGTTCGGTCATTCTCTCTTCCTCACGTTTTCTAACAGTCGTATCTTTGAAATTACATATATTGTTGATTCATTTAAGTAACATATTTTGTTTGCGACAGGAATGTTACATTGAAAAAACGAGTGAAATGTACAAGCCAAAGGAACAATTTTTGGTGTCAAAACATCTCAAGGCAGTTGAAATCAATTATGTTAAACAAGATGAGGATGAAAGGATTCACCAAGTATTAAACGTCTTTGCTTACCATGGAGTACATCCGGAACTAATAAATATTGAAAGGAAGCCTTTTACTCACTGTAAGTAACTATTACTCCATCTTTCTGTATTCACGATGTGTGACGGTTGTTGAAATTATATTATTATCCTAGTCAGGGAAATAGTAGAATAATATTGGAATTTAGAAAACTAGACATTGAACCGTTTGTTGAGGTTAGAAATGAAAAACAAATCGACCAAACTTATTCAAGTGATAATGTTTACCTTGGCAAAAGCAGAATTACACGCACCATTTTAACATCGTTTGGCTTTTCAATGCCACTTTCCACCACATAATACCTTTCATCCACATACGGGATAGTTTGGGGGTCTGGTACTTGGCTGGTTTCGTGTTAATAGCACGTCCTTCCAGAAATATCATAATCCGATCAAGTGGTATGTTGATTCAATCATCCAAGTGAATTTCTTGTGCAGTTGTTGCTGCACTTGAGTGCCACTCGCTAATTTGCTGTACCTTACCTTGTTATATTAGCTTGAACTTTCGTTGTTTCCACAGGCTTCAGTTTTGAGTACAAGCAGTAGTTTGGATCCTCTACTATCTGCCAGCTCCCGACCAAATGAAGTATGAGCCTGGGTGCTGTTTGGAAAGGTTTAAACCTGGCCAGTTGCGTACCTGTTACACTCTTGCTCGTTTGCTGAACTTCAACGTCAGGACCTGTATGAACTACTGATTTGCCTGCTGAGGGCCTGCGTTTTATTTACATGTTTCTGGTATAACGTATGTACTCCCTTCATCACAGAATTGTCAAAAAAAACATCTTACATTATGGGACGGAGGGAGTAATATCTAATGCTGCGTATCATGTTTTATCAAGTGTTTTTTCATGACACCTAGAAGACTGCTTTAGTTACTTGTGGTGATTGTTTGTGTTCCATACATATATTTGGTGGGGAAGCTTTTCTTGTTGCCGACTGTGTATGCTCGGCTGCAATATAAGTTATTCCACAGGTGAATAGTAGTACCCAAGTTAAAACGCTAATCTATCCAAGGCGGATTGGTGTTTTCATTGTCCAAATGCCTAGCTTTATCGCATTATTTCTTCTTGTATTGAATATAAGAAAATGAGAATTTGTAACTTGAAGAAGTGTTTGAAAGTAAAACCTTGAGATGAATCAATAGGCATCTGTGAAATATCTCAGGATATTTCAATGGACAGAACATTAGGAACCAGACCCAAATCTCTTTTGTTTGCTTCCAATAATCATACGAAGCTACTTTGCTTGTCCCGGTATTCTGGGATGAAATCACATATTTGTGATACAAACCTCGCGTATGAATGGGCTGAAATAATTATCAATTTTCGAATTATTCTAATCCACAAATAAATCATGGCTGTTCAGCTGGTGCCATTGCTGAATCATCAGTTTGTATTTATTTTGTGGAGTAGAACCCTGATAACTGCATTCGGCCACTGAAATAACAATCTCCTGACAGAATGGTTTTCACTGTTGTTTTATACTGTAGAAAGGGCTACTGACAATAGTAGAATTGTCAGCCAAGTGAATTCTTCATAGGCAACTGTATTATGAGTAGTGGTGCATATGGCCAACAAGCTTCATGCTCAATAGCTCTGTTTCATAGTATGATTCAATCAACACATGCATCTTACGAGCATGCATGACACAGTGTAGAAAGAGCAACTACAAATTCCGTCATTAATTCTTGGCAGAACACGCATCTTAGTTTGTAAGGGCAATTGTGCTACAAATTGTATTTCTCAAGAAATCCAATAAAGAACAAATTGTACACAGGATGACATGTAGCCACCAGAAAGCATCACAAAAAATAGATGAAACATTACATGCAAAAAATAGATCCGGCATTATCTACAACAGAAATTAAGAACCGCATTGCACACAAGATAACATATGAGCTAAACAGTGGAGCATTGGGTAAATATCAGCATGTCCAAATTAATATGGATCGGAGGGATTAGCAAACACTAATTCTATCACAGAACATACAACCTAGAGCCAACCAGTTTCTTGGCCGGAGGAAGTTAAGGCATAACCAGTATGACAAAACATAAGACCAATGAGAAAACAGGAACCCGTAGGCTGAATCATCCAGTTTATCAGAGGCACCTTGTGTGATTTGTCGTAAGGCCAGTTCACAATCGTGGGTATCAATAGTGTAGCTTGAGAGAAGCTAGATGATTGTGAAAGGGCGGATAGCGACAAGGACAAACTGCTCCATGCTTTGTTCGAAGAAGAAATTATGAAACAAGAAGAAATGACGAAAGCAAACTGGACATGTGGTACAAGCGTACACACTAGGAAGCATTCCAAAAATAATACATGTTGAATGTAAATGAGAATGAATCGAACTTCTCTCTTTCATTGATCATCGGATGGTATTTATACAAGGCTTTGCATCTCTTGACAAAGTCGGTTACAAGGAGAAGGCGCTTGTTCAGTGATCACAGGCGTCTGTACAATGAGAAGGCGTCCGTACGGACACATGCGTCCGTACGGCGCTTTGGGCATACAAACCGTCTATTACGGTTATAAACTAATTCTAACAGAAACACCATATCATACTTTGTTCGAAGCCCTCCCTGGCCTTGACATACAATAGTTCCACAAACCACTGGTAAGAATATCTAAAACTTGTTTCCTGCCTAGACGAAAATATTGTAATACTAAAAAGATTATAGAGAACACATTTTCAAAGATTCAGTTGCAAAGCTAAATACATAAAAGGGGGGAGAGGTTGAGCTGACATTATCTACTGCAGAAATTAAGAACCACATTGCACGCTAGCATAAATCTAAACAGTGGAGGACATAAGGTAGTAGACAGTAATTCCATCATAGAATATACAACCTAAGAGTCAATCCGTTTCTTGCCCGGAAGAAACAAAGGCTTAACCAAAATAACAAAACAGGTGCCATTTCTTAGCAATGCATACCATAGGCCAGATCATCCAGTTTATCAGCACCTCATGCGATCTGCTGTAAGGCCAGTTCAGAATCCTGGATATTTATGGTGTAGCTTGACAGAAGCTGGATGATCATTAAAGGACGGTCGCCGACGAGGACAAACTGCTTATCCTGCTTCACAAAATCAACGGCTTCCGAGATGCTCTCAACTTTCTCGTCCTTGATGTTGCATTTCCATATACGAGCAGATAAACCCAGTTGTTCAGTGTAGTAAACACAGTTTGCCTCAATCAATGGGAACATATCAGTATCCACAGCTAGGCACCTATGATGACCAAGGAAGATGGCATGGTTGCCAATGCTCTTCAAATGCAAAAGCACGCCATTCTTGGCTTCGTACCTTAAATTCTGGACGAGTTGTCCCTTGATGATGGGCATCAGTTGTCCACCAAAATCCATTAGGAAACACCGGGTGTCGTCTGCAAACCCCATATCAGCAGGATCACCAGAAAAGAACTTCAACGGGTCAACACGGAGCGACTTCATCACATCGCAGATCTTTGACAACCACGCCAGCTGTTTCGTCTGATTCCAAGTTTCTTGCTGATAGCCACCAAGGGCCGGCCAAATCACCTTTGACCTGCCTCCTAATAAGACCATAGAGTGAAAGCTCAAAGTCATGGGCGCCAAAACTGTGAGGACTGGCTATGTATATCTTGCAACATGACTTGGAGAGCAAGGTGAGCACGGGCGAAGCGAACCCAAAGCAGAGCGAACAGGGGACATTCACATCAGGCGGCACGGGCACCGTGAAAGGGATGATGCCACCAGTGAGAGGGTTGAAGACACGAGCAGCATGAGGGGGGCTCCTATCTGCCAGGACGAAGAAGCCGTCGAGAGACGTAGTGACGATATAGTAGTCAGAGAGCAGAGGGAGCTCTTTGTGGAGGATTCGGCCGGTGGCGGTGTTGACCAAGAGGCGGTGCGTTCCACTCTGAAAGACCTCGTCGAGGATGATCCATCGGCGCGGAAGGAACCGGTGGTCCAAAATGTTGTCCTTGGGGTCGTGGGTGGCGGAACGCCAGCTGTGGCAGACGGCGCGCAAGTCCATGTAGCAGTCAATGTCATTGGTGGCGAGGAAGGAGTCGGCGATGCGGCGGACTATGTCGAGCTGGAGCGAGGACCAGTCTGCAGTTGCCGTGGCCGGAAGGACCGGCGAGGTTCCCAGACAACTGGGGTCCTTCTTTTGCCTCTTGCAACGCTGGAGAACTTCAGCCGGAGAGGCTGCCATTGCTGCACGCTGCAGTTGCTGCTTAGCTTGATTCTGGATCTCAAGGACGGAGTCCTTTGCAGAATCCAATGCTCCAATCCTCCCTGCAAAAGGACGAAGGACACTAGTTGTAAAAAATGGCAACAATTGATCACCAAGAAATGAGCAAACGAGAAACGAACAAAAGTGTCAAGCAAAGCAAGCAGCAGCACAAGCATCAAGCAAATCAAACAGATCCTCATATTTACAGCAGGCAATCCTCTCTGCTCTCCCCTAGTCCCCTCTGCTCTCTCATGGCAATCCTCTCTGCTCTCCCCTAGTCCCCTGATCCATCTTCAGATCTTCTCCCCCAATCCGCCGTCCTCTCCGTCGAGCGGGACACCTCGCCCCGTCTCCTTCGCCGCCGGAGTTGCTCCTTCTTTTTCCAGATCGGGGGCGGCAGAGCAAGCGGCGGCCCTCCTCCTCTCGGCAACTCGTCCACCGCCGGTCCTCCCTCCTGGCCGCGACAGAGCGAGGGAGGGCAACCACACCGCGTCCCGCGGAGTCTAGGCGAAGAGCCGAAGACGCAGCCCAGGCTAACCCTAGCGGCGGCGCAGCAGAGAGAGGGAGGGAGGGGAGAGACAAACCTTCTGGGCGGCGGCGGCGCGCGAGTCGCTCGGCGATTTGCCTCTTCCAAAGGAAGGAAGGAGGTTCGCCAATTTAGCACGCACAGGGGATGGTGTCTTTTTAAGCGTCTCCGAAATACTCCCTCTTTCCGCTTACAGGTTCTCGTTTTAAAAGCATTATAAACTGAAAGGAAGGGAGTAATTGATTTTTACCTCACGGAGACCTAAAAATGCTGCTCCAACGGATGATGTATGTAGATGTAAAAAAAATTACTCAATTTTTCTTCATGATGTAAAATAGGGCACTTGGTGATACAAATTTGCATCACCTGTTTGGCTCGAGCAAAACACTGTCGCTCGCGTGCGTAGCCCCAACTACCCCGCTGAACATTCCCGCGCCATGTCGGCTCATCCACCCGCCTACTACCGCCGGCCATTTCGCCCAGGAAGTCTTCGGTCACCGCTTGTCCGTCCACCCCTAACACCACCGCCCAACCCCACCGCTGGAGGTCTCGTCGCCGCGCCATGTCTCCACCGGTTCGGCTGTTGGCCGGATCGTCGACGCCCGTGATGCAGCTCGTGGCCGCCGTACGGAGTATGAACTACCAGCCACCGAAGTTATTGCTGGCAGGAGCGCGACCATCAGAACCAAGCCAAGCGGCCACAGCTTCAGTCGTCGTCGCTGGCATCGTGTCGCCGAAAGAGTGTGGTTTTTACACCCTGGACACTGCGCCCCCGGTGCATCCACGATAAAAAACTTAGCAA